ATTGCCCCCAAGAGAGAGAGTATTTGTGTTACAGTTATGCCAAGTCCTCCACACCCATAGATCCAAGGACAAAGGAGTCGAAGATAAAATTTGAACTCACATATGTTAGCCTCTCCAGCTGTTCACTGGGAATGATCATATTTGCCCTGACTTCTACAGCTGGGGTGAGCTCTTTCCTCTAATTAAATAGGTCTGGTCTTTTGTTTCACTTATTTGTCATTTAGCTCTTAGCATTAGTAGCCTTGCATCATTTGTATGTATCTGTTCTGTCTTTATAATTAGATTATAAAGCATTTTATGGTAGAAATCCTGTGTTCATGTGATACTTCACTCATATATTCATTCATCAAACACTCACTGAGTACCTCCAGGCATGGGGCTAGAGTCTCAAAAGAAAAAGAAGACAGGACATGGTCTCCAACTTCAAATGCTTCCTAGTAAATAAGGAGTGGTAAAACTGTGTGACTGTACAGATGAGTATAAGTGCATGTGTATAAGTGTAACTATAGAGATGTGTATCATTCCTTGTTGAGAGGAGACAATACTCAAGCTGAGCTTTGAAGGAGAAAGGAGGAATTTCCCAAACAGAGAAAGAATGTGGAATAGGAAGTCCATTGCAGGCTGAACTTGAAGCTTCTGATATGCCTAAAGACAATGATACATGTAGGAAGGGACCAGAAATGAGACCAGGTAAGAGACACCTTCCAGGATTAATCTAAGGTCATGGATTTTATCCACAAAGCCATGGATGCTACTAGAGAATTTAAATTAGCCAATGGTGTCATTAGCTCTCTATTCCCAAAGCTCACTCTGGCTGCAGTGTGGATAGGAATAGATGAGGATTGGAACCCAGTTAAGGGATGTGGCAACAAAACAAAGTTGGTCATGCTTGGACAAGGGCAGTATAGGTGGGGATACAATGTCCAAAGAACTTGTTGATTAATACATTGAGAGGAGAAGGGAGTTGAGGGAAATTGGAAAGGGAGGTGAACCATGAGAGACTATGGACTCTGAAAAACAATCTGAGGGTTTTGAAGGGGCAGGGGGTGGGAGGTTGGGGGAACCAGGTGGTGGGTATTGGAGAGGGCACGGATTGCATGGAGCACTGGGTGTAGTGCAAAAACAATGAATACTGTTACGCTGAAAAGAAATAAAAAATTAAAAAAAAATATTGTAGGGGTGAGTGAAAATTTGTACTATCACTTTGAAGGGAGATACATCACTAGTTATTAAATTTTGAGAAGGTAATGGTTCTGTGACTCAGAAATGCTAGTTATGGTTATCTCCTCTAAAGAAAAATATTAATTCAGCATTGTTTGTTAAAAAGGAAATCAGCTAAACCAACACGTCCATCACTAGGGGACTAGATAAAGAAAATAATATTAAATGTATCAGTACTATCGATATAACAAAATACTTCTATATATATAACAAAATAGTTCTATCTCAAGCATCATTATGACTGAGTGAAAAACAGCCAGTAGTAGAATGATACATGTAAGTGTTGATGTCCTAGAGAAAATCTCATTTTGGAATTTGGAGAGGCCCATTGCAAACAGCTGTCTTCCTACCTTCTCCCCATAAAGCAGACTGAATAGACATCCAGTCACACTTATCCGCACAGTGCTTCTACCTAAAATTCTTATTTTTGTTAAAAAAAAAAATTAACCCTAAGTAGATACAAAATAACATTATTAGAATACATATAAACTCTACAGAGTAGATGTAAGCAACACTCCTGTGGTCCCCACCAACTATAAGAACAGAAAAACATTGTTATTTTCCATGCCTGTGTCCCTCTCAAGTCTATCCTATTCATTCCCCTCTGGGAGGTAACCACTTTCCTGAATTTTGTTTATGGTTCTATGTATGTGTTTACATTGTTTAATTTTGTGTGGTTTTGACCTTTTTATATATGTGGAATCTCACAGTATATGTTATTTTGTGACATTCTTTTTTCATTTAAATATATTTTTGAGGTTCCATGTTGGTATCAGTCAGAGTTCCCCAGAGAAGCAGAACCCACAGAAGATATATATAAAGGAGATTGATCACGAGGAAATGGTTCGCATGATTACAAAGGCACAGAAATTCACCATCTGCTGTCTCCAAGCTGGAGACACTGTAGTATAATTCCAGTCAGAGTCTACAGACCTGAGACCAAGGAAGCTGGTGATATAAACCCAGTGTAAGGCCAGAAGAAGATCTGTGTCCCAGGTCAGCAGATAGGCTGGAAGAAAAAGGGATGAATTCCATCTTTCTCTGCCTTTTGTTCTGTTCAGTCCCCAAAGGATTAGATGAGGCCCACCCACATTGGGATGGACAATCCACTTTACAATATCCACTGATTCAAATGTTAATCTCACAGATATACCGGAAATAATATTTAATCTGGGCATCCTGGGGTTCAGTCAACACATAAAATTATCATGATGTTGTTGAATGTAGCTGTATTTTTCATTCTTACTTCTCTACCATATTTTATTTTATGACTATCATACAAGTTCATCTATATATTTTAAAGTTGAGGGACATTTTTATTATTCTTCCTTCTCTCCGCCAGCTATAGACAGGGCTGCTGTGGACCATTCCTGCATATGATCCTTGTGTGGATGCATTACCGTATACCATATACAAGTAAGGATGTAGATCTTCAACTTTCTATATTATGCCATATAATATCAAATTCTTTTCCAAAGTGATTGTATCAATTTATATTCTTATTAGCAATATGTTCATTATTCTATTTGTTTCACATTGTCAGACAGTTAGTTGTCAAGCTAATTTTTGTTAGTCTAGTGGATGAGAAATGATAGTTAGCAAGCAAAGGGGGACTGCAATCCTACTGCTACAAAGAACTGAATTCTGCTACAACCCCGTGAGCTTGGAAGAGGACTCAGATTCAGCATGAAATGCAGCCTGGTCAACATCATGACTGTACCTCTTGAGACTGGGAGCAGAGGACTGACAAAGCTCTGTTTGCATCCTGACCCACAGGAAGTGAGATAAATGCATGTTGTTGTGTTTTTTTAAGATTTTATTTATTTATTTGAGAGAGAGACACACAGAGATCGCTACAGAGATAGGGAGAAAGCACAAGCAGGGAGGAAAGGGAGAAGCAGGCTCCCCGCTGAGCAGGGAGCCCTATGCAGGGGTGGGTGCCAGCACCCTGGGATCATGACCTGAGCCAAAGGTGGACGCTTAACCAACTGAGCCACCCAGTCCCCCAAATGCATGTTGTTTTAAGCCACAGAATTAAATTGTGTTAAACTGTTACACAGCAACAGATAATGAATACATTAATGGATCCACGGAGAAGGAAATATAACCCCAATATGCTAATTAGTTCTGCTGTAAGCAGAACTGATATAATCTATGAAAGGGCTGAGAGCTGTTTTCTTTAGTTAAATTGTTGGCGAAGGGCTTAGATCAGCCTCACTGGTTTAGCCACTCAATCCCTTGACTGATGTGTGACGAGGAAAGCAGGATTTGTCAGCAAGTGACAGCTCCCATTTAACCCACGTGGCTAGAGGAGATACTTCCCAGGAGAGGGGAGCTTTCACAGTTAAAACAACAACAGAATTCTGTCATGCTAATGCAATTGGGAGAGACAATTAGAAAAGACAGGTGTATCTAAAAGGAGATCATTTTTTCATTATTGAAGTTCATATGATTATTAAAAATCATTTGAAAATTAGCAAGAGCATAGGTAGCATAGGTAGCAAGAGCAACAAGATGGTTAATATGAAGATCAATCTAAAATTGTGGTTTTTTTATATCAGCAAAAATTATAGGGACACCTGGGTGGCTCAGTGGTTTAAAGCCTCTGCCTTCGGCTCGGGTCATGATCCCAGGGTCCTGGGATCGAGCCCCGAATCGGGCTCTTCGCTCAGCAGGGAGCCTGCTTCCCCCTCTCTCTCTGCCTCTCTGCCTATTTGTGATTCCTGTCTGTCAAATAAATAAATAAAATCTTTTTTAAAATTGATAAAATAAAATGGAAGATCCGTTGATAGACCAAAAGAGAATTTACTAACAAATGAACCAAAATGGAAATCTGTAGGATCAGTATGAGAAAAATTTAACCTGAGACATTCCTGCACTTGAATGACTGTCATGAAGTATTATATGACCATTACATTCTAACTAAATGCTTATTCCATGAGAGAAAATATTTGATGGCTACTTCACACTAAGCTTAGTTTAATAGGATCTTCTTTCTAACCAGTACATACATATTACTAAGTGATTCAAATTTTAGTCCGCCTAAGAGCTACCTGGGAATGTGTCTTGGAATGCTTATTTCGAGACACCACCCTCAAGAAATTCCGAATTAGCACCTCTGAGTAGAACCTGTTCACCTACATTTTAACTTGGAAAAACATTGCTTCAGCTCAGAGGAGAGACTCTCAGCAGGAAAGATTTCTCTGGAGATCAGCAGAAGACAGATCCTCAGGAGGGAATATTTTTCTGGCAAGCCTCAAACAACGTCAGAGAAATTGAATATTGTATGTATATGTTTACCTAAGACTGTTTATACCCAGGAGAATACATTTGTACCTAGCACTTGTATGAGATTATATGTGAGGAATCTTAAGGGATATGCCCCACACTGTATCCTTTCCATGCTTTCTCTCGGTTCTTCCTTACTTCTATGAATTTGGGAAGTAAGGAAGATAGCGATGGCATGAAAAGCATGTAGGAGGAGAGGCAAGGGGAGTCTATAGCATAATCTCTGAGAACTGTAGGTGTCCAGGCACTGTGAGGGAGAATATGCTTATTTTACTGTTTGGCAATGCTTGGTTAGCTATCAATGAACCAGAGCAGAAGACCAGAACGGAAACCATGACACCCACCCCAGCATAAGTTTGGGTTTCCTCCAAAGCCATTTCCCCGTGTATGTGGATGCAGCGAGCTGAAGAGAAGATATAAGTAGGCTTCAGGAAGCTACCTCCACGCTCTAGAACCCAAGGCGACCATTTCCGAGCTGCTTCTCTCTCCCTTTGGTCAGATCTACCTTCAGTTCCATGGGAGGCTTTGAGGGCCATCTGTACCCAGGACTGTCTCTCTTCTTCTATGGACTTTATCATGCACGACTAGTCTCCAGGGCCTTAATATGCAACTACCCTGTCCAGTATCTGCCACGCTATCCCTGGAGCAAAGGACGATGGGCAAGACTGCAGCAAGTATGCTATGTTGGGCTGGTGAAGATATTAAGTGCCTTCATTTTAGCAGCCCAAGAGCTGCATAACATACAGGGACAGTTTGTACTTATCAGCAAGATATATCATCAGAGAAACTTTTTGTACCGCAAACAGTGGCAACATTTCACTCTCTATATGGCCTTCTTTCTGAGCGGGTGTGTGGATGTGGTGAGCCAGAACTTGCTGCCCCAGCGGTGTGCTGCTCTGGAGCAGGGCGCCCAAGCCCTGGGCATGTTTCTCTTTCTGCCTCTGATGGTGTCTCACATACAGGACTCCGAAGGTGTGGAGCTGCAGTCCCACGTCCTGCTCACCCAGGCCATATTCCTGCTGGCACTGGTGGTGGTCGCAGAGCTGTGGGCTCCCGATATGCTGCAGCTTTGGGTGATGAAGGCCTTTTTTTATATGTTGACAGGCTCTTGGCTGATTCAGATAGGTTTTATGCTGTACAAACCAATTTCTGGCTATAAATGGATGGACGATGATGAAAACGACATTATATTTGTTACCACCTTCTTCTGCTGGCATGTGGCTTTCATTGCCATTTTGATGATCTGGGTCTACGGCTTCTCCGTTGTGTGGTATTGTTACATTTGTTGATGTCCGAACCTGGGGAAGCCCAGAATGGTTCCTATCACCTGCACATTCTCAAACACCTGGATGAGAAGTTGTGGGAAGTGGTGGTGTTAGAGAGGAAGACGACCAAGGCAGCAGACTCTCCTGGGATGGACCTACCCCGTCTCCCCTCTGGCTTCTCTCAGTCTCATTTGCTGAGCAGTGTGCTGGGACAGGCAACTGAAACACAAGAGGCATGTCACAATGACCTTCATTCTCGGCTCCCCAAGTATTTCCCCCACCTCCTCTTCCTCTCCTCAACTCCAGCCAAGGCATTCTCTTTGCCTTTCTCCTCTCTGTAATCTTCACATCCCCCCCAGGAGAACAGAAAAATAAATGTACTATATCTTCCCTTTGGGTCTTTATATATATCCTCACTCACCCAAGAGAATACTGACCACAAGTTATGTTTAGTACATCATAATTTACCCATCATAGTAAGCACCTCCTCACCCTTTCTCTTTCTGGATCTCTTCAATACCTACACCAAATCTAAACTGTTATTTTAACTAGAAAGGGCTCAGAGAACAATTGCTGAATTATTTTCTTATGGTTTGTCAAAGAGATCTTTTGTTTTCAGCTTTATTAAGATATACTTAATTTACAAGCAATCGCACATATTTAATGTATATATTTTGGTGAGTTCGGGCATATGTGATACCATGATAACATCACCACACTCCTGGAAGGCATTTTCCTCCGCAGGGTCTAGCACAACAGAGCAGCACCTTGTACACAGCGAGGGCGCAAAAAGACCCGTGTGCTTTCAGGAGTGAGTCTCACTGAGTGTAGAGTCTGTCAGATTCTTCTGCCTGGATAGATCAGCCCATTATTCTATACACACCTCAATCCATTTCCAAGTGGTAGACTCACCTGGAACAACTCCTTTCTGGTTCTCATGTGTCGTGAAATTCAGTGGCTTATTTAATCCCACAAAAAAATTTTTTTTAATCCTCACAATTATCTTATCATGTAGGTTTATAGATGATAATCTAAGACTCAAAAGGTTTAAAAAAAAACACTAGCTTAAGGCAGTCAGATATCTAGTTATGTCGCATAATGCTATGCCTGGGTGTCCACAGAGGTGGAATTCTAAGTAGTAGAGTTAAATTGCTGGCAACTTGCAAAACAATGTCTTTATGACCCCTGCTATGCTTCTTTCCCTGCTGTGCCCAGGATACAGACAATCTGTTAGGCTTCTCTTACTCTTGGTCATGATTATAATATCCAGGCTTAGGACAGAGTGAGGCTGGGGCAGGGATTCTAGGGGGTCATCATCCTTCCGGTTTCCCTTTTGCTTCTAGTTCTTAGGAAAACTGGACATACCTGTCTTCCTTTGGTTCTGGACTTACTCTTCCTGGTTAATTTTCTAGTTCAACAGTTACTGTGTAGCAGGGGTGAATTATTGTCTTCTTCTTCTTTTTTTTTTTTTAAGATTTTATTTATTTATTTGACAGAGAGAGATCACAGGTAGACAGAGAGGCAGGCAGAGAGAGGAGGAAGCAGGCTCCCTGCCAAGCAGAGAGCCCGATGTGGGGCTCAATCCCAGGACCCTGGGATCATGATCTGAGCCAAAGGCAGAGGCTTCAACCCACTGAGCCACCCAGGTGCCCCAAATTATTGTCTTCTTGTTAAGGTTTTCTACTCTGTGGTTTGAGGAGCTGTGAGCATTCAGAGTTACTGCAAAGGGGGTGGTGCTTCCCAGTGTCATTTCAGGGGTGGTCAGCAATGTCTCTGAATGCGGGATGGCATGCATGTGACCGGCAGGCACCAACTCTCCAGGGAGGGCTTTCACCTTGCACCAGTAGGGTATCCAATCAGGTAGCAATGCTGCTCTCCACCGGGGATAACAGTGGTCTGTGGGGTGGAAATAAAATATTTCTTAGGCATTAGTTCAGCTTCTTTGCCTCTCCTTGGTCCTGGTGACCCGTGGAGCTTTGCAGTCCTCTCTGTAGGTCCTGCCCTGGTCCTGGTTGTCACCTCTGGGTCCCTTCCCCTTGTTTCTCCCTCACAATCTTGGGTATTTTTCAGGACTTGCCTAACCTTGCAACTCATCCTTCCTGAACCCTAGCTGAACCTCTTCGAGTGTCCTGAAGTTGGGAAAGTAGGGAATCTGTTTTTCCTCTGCATTCTTTCCTACTGATATGGCAAACCCCTGTTTTCTACTTCACTCGGCCCTCCTATTTTTGAATTAAGAGCATGGTTTGGATTTTTTTAATCTAAAAATTGACTCTTCTTTTCTTACAATTACAATCAAACCTCATCTTGTGGCAATGTCTGCCACTAACTGGGGAAGAAGTTATTTACAAGGGTGGAAAAGCAAAGCCTAATATTAATATATTAATATTTCAAGATATTATCTCTCTACAAAGATGAGGTTGAAGAGATACCAAAGCCATCTACTGACAGATCTGTCCCTTTCTGAGTACTTTTGAGCTCCTGGTAGATGCTGTTGAACTCATCTCCTGTAGTAAATTAATGCCTCCCAATATTATTATGTCTCACAGTATGTACCTTTGAGGTAAAATAATAAATATTAGCATGGTCACAACGCCACAAAGAATTATTACTAAGGGCTGATATAATGGTGGAATGGACAGACCTGATGTTTGGATGAAAGGGTCTTTCTGTTCTCTTCACATCACAGTAGGTATGAGCACTCTAAAAGTAATCCTTTGGATTTGTATCTTGAGATGTAAAACCTTTGGAATGTAAAACCAACTGAAGATAAACTTAGAAACAATAGCAACAGCAAAAAACCCCAGAGTTGTAGAGAGAAAGGTGTAATCTTCACCACCGCCCACCAGAGGGCACATTTGTACACAAGCCTGGAAAAGGTAATTGCTCTGTTTGGTGTTGAAGTATCAATTTAGAAAAAAACGAAGGGATGAAGAGAAGGGCAAAAAAATCCATAAGCAGGTGTTATCCAGGCATCTGGTAAACATAATGAAGGTCTGTTTGTTTCTTGTTAAACTTAGGCGTGTGGACTTGAGTAAACACAGAATTCAAACTCTAGGTATAGATTATAGATAGATAGATATGTGTGTATCTCAAAAACAAAACCGTGTACAATGCCCTTTGAGCTGAAACGGCTGCTGTCTTTTTAGCAACTTTATAAAATAATCAAAATGCTTTTGTTTAGCTCATCACATAATAGATATGCATCAAATAGTTGGTGAAGGAGTAAATAAAGTATCTAGGACAGGTGTAGCACATATGAAATGTTGGTTTAATTCTGATCTGCGTTTTGATGGATAAGTAGGAGTTTGTTAGAGGAGTTCAGGATAGGAATTCTGAGGTCTTTTATGTTTCCTCTGCTCAGACACCAAAGCCCAGCAAACATAACCTTATCAGAGCAGTTCCAGGGATGGAATTTCATGGCCCAGTGATACAGAGAACACTACCAAGTTCCTGTCCCTTAGGATGGGTGGCTAAGGAAGAGCCACACAAAATTGTTTAATGAGACGTTTAATAATTTACTTTTCAGTTTGAAGGCAGAATATTATTAATGGGCTCTTACTAATTGAAGGGGAATATTGTTCCAAAATAACAAAAACATTTGCAATTACTTGTATTGTAATTAACATCCAATAGATTAGGCATACATTGATATACTAATTATTAAATTTTTTAACTTGACATAAAAAATTATTTATAAATGTAATATTATTTAAAATTGCTATCATTTGTTCACCATCTTTCAATAAAATCATGCATTTGATAAATAATGCATATCATAAATCATAGGAAAAAAATTTTCCTAAACAGATTCCATTTCCATATTTCGTTAGTTGAAATTCCTTAGTTGTTTCATATTATAAAATTTAAATTTAAATTTACCCACTCAACCAAGAGAAATAAAATTATTGTTGCCAACTTCTTGAGGCTTCTCTGTCCAAAACTCGGAATTTTTATACATATTTTAGGTCAAAGAATATAAGATCAAGACTAACCCTTTCTTTGTAGGATTATATACGTTTTTGTTGTTGTTGTTTGTTTTCTGTTTTACTTTGGTTTTTGTTTTTATATATTTTTTAATCATTTTTTTTATTTATTTTCAGCATAACAGTATTCATTGTTTTTGTACCACACGCAGTGCTCCAGGCAGTCCGTGCCCTCTCTAATACCCACCACCTGGTTCCCCCAATCTCCCACCCCCCCACCTCTTCAAACCCTTCAGATTGTTTTTCAGAGTCCATAGTCTCTCATGGTTCACCTCCCCTTCCAATTTCCCCCAAATGCCTTCTCCTAACTCCCCATGTCCTCCATGCTATTTGTTATGCTCCACAAATAAGTGAAACCATATGATAATTGACTCTCTCTGCTTGACTTATTTCACTCAGCATAATCTCTTCCAGTCCCATCCATGTTGCTACAAAAGTTGGGTATTCATCCTTTCTGATGGAGGCATAATACTCCATAGTGTATATGGACCACATCTTCCTTATTTTTGTTTTGTTTTGTTTTTTGTTTTCTGTTTTGTTTTGTTTTGTTTTGGTTTTGCCTTTGGCCAAGACTTCACTAATCACCAGTCACAAAAGATTGTACTTCTTGGGGTGCCTGGGTGGTTCAGTTGTTAAGCATCTGCCTTCAGCTCAGGTCATGATCCCAGGGTCCTGGGATGGAGCCCCTCATTGGGCTCCCTGTTCAGTGGGAAGCCTGCTTCTCCCTCTCCCACTCCCCCTGCTTGTGTTTCCTCTCTTGCTGTCTCTGTCTGTCAAATAAATAAATCTTAAAAAAAAGAAAAAGAAAAAGAAAAAGAAAGGTTATACTTCTTATAATTTCAGTATCTTTCCTTAAAATGAATTGTTAGCTAAATAGCCCTATTTTAGTGAAAGTCTTTTCCAGTTTTTATTCTCTTTCTGTATTACTGTAGCTAAATGCACCAAGTCCTATTATGTACCATTATGTAGCATTTTAACCCCTTTATGTAGGACGAAATTGCACTTCCTTTTACTTTAAGATTACATGTATTGCATCGACCACCATTCTGAAGTCTTTGATTGAAATCTATTATATCAGCAAAGATGACAAAAATTAGGACTAAGGTCTAAATTCTGTACGCTGCATCTTTTCCTTAGATAGCTAACAATGAGCAGTAATGCACACAAATTTCTAAATCAGAAGGCACAGGTTTGCTTAGGAGAATTCTATTGTCTGTCGATATTATATCTCAAGCTTTCGTGAGTTAACACTGGGACAATGACTCTGTGTTACTTGCTTTATCTCTCCCGGACCCTCTTTCAGTGTCCCCTTTCCTCAATCACAATTTTTAGGTCTTTATATTTGGGCAGGACTTCAAGCTTTCCATATGGCCTTCACATCCATTTCTCAGCTGAACTGAATGT